CAGCTGGGGCGGCGGGGAGGCGCGAGCCCAGGGCGCCCCGACCGGCACAGGTGTCGGGGGTCTGGTACTCGGTCTCCATGGCCTCCGACGACGTGGCGAGGATCGGCAGGGACGGGGACCTGCGGCTCTACATCCGGGACATCCAGAACCTGGACACCGGGGGCCTGAAGTTCCGCTTCTTCTTCCCGTGAGCGCCGGCAGGGGCGCGGGCGGGGGAGCGCGGAGCCGGCGCCAGCTCAGCCGTGGGGGGCAGAGGCCCCTGGGTGCGGGCCCCGCCCACCACGCCTCGCCCCTGCGCAGGGTGCGGGGGGACTGCGAGGAAGTGGACATCGTCTGCGAGAAAACGGACAAGAACGGGGAGTACACGCTGGCCTGTGAGCGCGGCCTGGGCGCTGGGCGGGGAGGGCGCCCCTGTGGGCAGCCCCCAGGCCACGCAGGTGTGCGGCTCTGAGCCAGGTGTCCTCACAGACGCGGGGAGGAACAGGGTGCTGGTGGCGGAGACCGACTACCACCTGTACGTCACCTTCTACCTGCAGAACACCCGGAACGGCACGGTCACACAAGTGCTGGCCCTCTACGGTACGCGCGGCGGCCAGTGGGGTCGCAGAGGCCCCGGGCTCGCCGGGCAGGACCCCAGAGGGCCCCCACTCTCCACCACATCCTGAGGGGATGGGACGCGGTCCGGGCTGCCAGGCGGGCCTGAGCCCCCGGGCCCCTGCGCCGGGCCCTGCCGCCCCGATACCCGCTCTGCCGCAGGGCGGATCCCGGAGCTGAGCCCCCGCTTCCTGGCCCGGTTTGAGGCCGTCTGCCGCCGGCACGGGCTCGGGCGCCAGAACATCGTCACCTTCAGCGGGGCACGTAGGTCCCGCGTCCACGCTGGCGGCCCGGGCGCGCCCCCAGGGCTGTGGGGGCTGGGCAGGCCTCAGCTGACCGCCGCTCTGTCCGCAGTCACCTGTGCCAGGAGGTAGACGCCAGCCGGCCGCAGGTGCGTGGGGCCTTGCGAGGGGGGGGGAGGGTCATGCCAGACGCCAGCCCGCCAGGACCACGCCCGGTCTCGGCTGCCCAGGGTATGGGAGCCGGACACTGGGGGCCTGAGCAGCCCACGACACCAGCCCGGGGCGGCTCCCTGAGGCCACTGTGGAGCTGGCCCGAGGGCGCCTCGCGCAGTCCCGGCACCCGCGGTGTCAGG